TTTCAAATAAAACTCAACCAGAGGTAATCGAGGTCGACGAACTCGAATCTGAGATCAGTTTTCTGAAATTTTTTTGTGAATCACTTTTTTACACAAAGAATCACTTTTTTACGGAAAAAAATTTTGTTTTATAAGGGTTGACCGAAGGGTAATCGTGATCGGGGAATTCGAATCTGAGGTTAGTTTTTGAAATTTTTTTGTGAATCATTTTTTTACACAAAGAATCACTTTTTTACGAAAAAAAATTTTGTTTTATAAGGGTTGACCGAAGGGTAATCGTGGTCGGGGAATTCGAATCTGAGGTTAGTTTTTTGAAATTTTTTTGTGAATCATTTTTTTACACAAAGAATCACTTTTTTACGAAAAAAAATTTTGTTTTATAATGGTTGACCGAAGGGTAATCGAGGTCGAGGAATCCGAATCTGCAAATTGGCTGCGATATTTTGATTGTACACATAGTCAGTAGTTAGTGGATCTGTTCGAATTAAGCGTGATTTAAAGAATTCAATTAAAAAAAAACACATTAGATCACAGAGGTTTTATCTTGCGGCTTTTTCGATGAGGCAGAGTTGTAACCGGTCGGAAAAATACGAGACCAGTCCGGTCCAGCTTGTGTAAGCTCTGAACCGCTGTGGCCCGGCCGATCTAAAAGTCTTCCTAGATCGGTAAAAATCGGCGAGTTCACACAACTGTTACAGTCAATAAAACTGATGTTTTAGTTTAAATTTTTAATGAGTACATGAAATTTTACACTTATCTTTTCAAGAGTTCACTAATTCAAAAATTTTACTTTTAATTTGCTTTGAATCTGTTGAGTGGCCAATATGTCTGGATCCATCATTTCCAGGAAAACTAAGATATTATTTTACTTAACCTAGTATCGTGAAAGTAATAGACAAGACTGTACAGATTACGTTGTTTAGTCACAAAAGACTCATATGAAGAAAAACAAGTAAATTCAAATTATCAGATGTCATCTATCGATTGTCGCAAAAAAATTAGAGCAAGATTAAAGAATAAACACCAAAGCTGACAGGCATGCAGCATAAAACAACTTTCTAATTGTAATCTTGTTTGAAAGATTCACTGATAGATCATTTTATTTAAAAGAAAGTTGAAAGACAGAAAAAATGTGTGAAAACTTCTTTCAAAATGAGCTATAACTCTTTTTTTCAAAGAAATAACCATCACAAATGCATAATTTCTAACTATTCGTAAATTGACTCACATGGACATTTTTCTGAAAACGGCAAACGCCGATAAAAACCGACCGGTTTAACCACTTGAAGTAGACCGGTAAAAAACCGATGAGAACCGGCTGGTTCAACTTTATTCACCGGATCGGTTTAGCCGGACTGGTTACAACTCTGCGATGAGGTGTCAATAACCTGAAATGATTCATAGTGTTTAGCGTCCAATTTGTTTAACCAAAATAATTGGAATAGTTGACTAAATATCGAAAGAAGAAACGTCGAAACATAAAACGTGGAAAAATAGAACATAGAGAAAGAGATTACCGAAAAGAAAAATGGCGAAAACAAAGATTCAAAGGACCATCAAAAATGTCATCGAACAGGTTTCTATTTATTGATGATGCTTTGCCAACATCTATTTATCATCAACTTTTGTTATCTTAATCCTTTAAGTAACAGAATCCTGAATGAAGGATACTTTTTTCAAGATGGATTTTCAAAGATTCATCAAGCGTATTGAGCGGAGACCCCATTTCACATTCAAAATTCAAAAAACTTCATATTTTATGTTTCTACATTTTCAAAGGTGATTAATGAAGGTGTTATATTATAACTTCTTTTTTTCCACAGTTTGAAAGGAATTATTATCAATTTCTTATAGATCAGTTTAAGTATCATCATGTCTGTGTTTATCAATTGATACAATATCGTCTGCAGCACAGTATTGTTGAATCTTCTGCCCACATTCTTCAATTAATAATCCATGTTCACTTGCATCTACTAGTTTATCTTTTTCCATTGATAACATACTAGAATAGTAAGAATAAGACATAATAAATAATTACTTAATTCAATAACTTAAAATAAAAAAAGTATTAATTATCTGCACGTTGAATTTACAAAATTTCTATATTCACATGCAAGACGGCAGGAAAAACGGCTATTCACTACATGTGCAGAGAGAACAATGGTATGTTGCTACCCAAACGGACAATTTTTTGAAAAGTTTTTAAACGTTGAAAGAAGAACCACAATTTGGAACCATTCGCACTTATTAAAAAAATACAATAGGCGCTGTTCTTTGCGTTTAATTTTCACTTTCAGAAAGTGAAAACAACCAAAAACTTCAGTTTTCAAAGTTCACATTTCAGAAACACTCTAGAATATAGAAGCAATGTGTTTTAGTACTTATTTTGTCAATTTTTCACCGCTGCAGCACTCTGAAAACGAAAATTAAACGCAAAAACTGCATTTCTTAGCTTGTCTAATGAGCGTGGATATCTCACAAATGCTCTTGTTCTTTGACCGTTTAATCAGTTTATTAAAAATATTGTATGGTGGAGATCATAATTTCAAATCTGAATAAAAATATTTTTGTGTTTCTTCTACTTTCAATCCTTATAGATCGATAAGGCAGAATCTGACACTTCCGAATATCACATTTTTTTTCAAAATTCGTTCAGTAACAAGATCTAGAGCATCTCCAAACGCTTAGAAACTTTTTTTTCGCCTAACATATCATCAATACTAGTTTAAATGTATGAAAAAAAAGTTTGGAAATAATAATCTTTTTTCTATTCATACTCATAAAATACTGTATTGATTCAGTCCTTCGAAAATATTTTCAAATGGAAGATTTACCGAGATTTTTATACCATAAATATAAATTGATATGTGGTACACTACGCACCGTATATAATAATTAGGACTGCCTTTTAATTCAACAGTATGGCAACACATTCAAAAGTTAGCTAGATTTTTTGAGATTTATAACTCAAATATATTACAGCCAATTTTCTCATATCTAATACATCCCAAAGCTAAAATATGTAAATCTCTAATTTATTAAGGTAAAATATAAATCATTAACATCCACAAGATTAAATGTTCCTCAATGTATTCAAACATAAATCGTCATTTCATGAATATGCCAATAGAACCTCAGAAATACTTTCCTACTAAAGTTTCAATTACTATTGATCAGCAATTCATTCTTATATTGCGTTATAATACCACTCTTACATCAACAATAGATACATTAAACTTAACGTTTTTTCCTATACTTTAGCATAAAGACTAATTTCTCTTACAGTGATATTTAAATTAATATACCTCTTTAAAATGATTCTGTTTCATGAACTTTTCACAAACAAAACATGATCAAAGCCAGTTGCTACTTTTTTTAAATTAAATCATTTATTTTATTTTAATTTTTTTCTCCCCTATTTTCAATGGGATACAAGTGGGAAAAAGTTTCGAATAGCATCAATTGAATCACACCATTTTTTGGAAGTTATCAAATTCTCTACTTTAGAACAATTATCTCTTGCTTGTTGTGAGTCGTGAGCGACTATTGTTAACAATACTTGCTTATGAATAGCCAGTTCGGTTAGACAAGGAAGACGACTTCGACAAAGAAACTGTTCAGCATAATCCATATGAATGTCGAGTAGAATTAGTGCAGATAAATGATCAAATTCAGGATTATTTGTTGTGATCGTTTTTTTCTCCTGTTGTTCAAGTTTATTGAATACTTCGAGTGTCTTTAGATTGGGTAGAGTACGAGCGACACGTTCAAAAAAAAGATTTTCGAACGGTTCCACATCATCGAAAAGTAATAACATGGTAACCATTGAGAACGTTTTATGCATATCGAAGAGTGGAAATCGATTTGAAATGAAATCAAGACGATTCCCAATAAACGGAAGCGAATACAATTGACATTGACCGTAGTTATTATTGAAATAGTCGACTGTACAAATAACAGCCTGTTGACATTTCATAACACTTCGACGAATTGTGCCGATCTCTACAGGAGAAGCGTTTTCCAATATTGAACGAATGTGAAAATTAAATTGACATAGATGAGGCATGTATGAAACAATGTCTTTCTCTAAATCAAATTCAGTAACAAAATGACTGAGTCTAGTTGTTGTTATATCAATAGCTAATAATAATGTTAAACGTTCGACACTTGAGAGCCGTTGCAGAAGAGGAACAATACATTCACTATAGTTAACAATATTATGATAGATTGTTACTGTCAATTCTTTCAAATTGAGACATAAAATCTAGATAAGAAATTTTAAAAGAATTTCAAATTAACAAATATTACTTACCGATGATATTTCAGAGATAATATCACCCTTCTCTACATAAACATCTACAATGCTAACAGCAAATGAACAGAGTTGAGAACCCAACTGAGTTAGTAAACGGACACAATCGCCAAATTTATTTAATGTTATTTGGATATGAGACAATTGTATTGATTGAGGGAAAAACAACCCATCCGGATTCCTTACATTTGGTAAAATACAGTCATTATCAAGTTCCAACGATACAATAGAACGCATAAATGTTGAACAACGAACAGTAGATATGATTCGATTACCAACAGACCCTTCAAGTCGAACAAATTGAGGTATTACACAAGAGAGAGATACACTGTGAAACACACGGTAAATCTCCATGCCTAAAATTATATACATACATATATACATTCGAGTGATACAATATTATATTTTTCAATTTAGTCTTTGGCCTCTCATAATATTAACGTGGAGAAAAATACTTTTCCATATCTCTCTCAACTATCATTTTTCTGAGAAACTTTAGCATGTCTTAGTACAGGTAAAACAATATAGTGAATTTCTCACTCATTACTCTGAACTGTCGATATTCCATATATACGCGTAGTGTCGATTTCTTTTCCATAAAATACCGAGACGTTTTTTAAATTCTTGAGTGATAGAATATGCTTTATTTTCAATGCAGAAGATGAACTGCAGTAGTATTTAAATACAACTAAAAAATACTTAATAGTTTACTTGATGCATCTAATGTATAAGGAGTGCCTGTTCGATGAGCTTGTCGACCAATCATTATCTTTAGGTGTGTCAAATTTGGAAGAATTCCATTAGAGTTTTTTTCAACATAACTGACAATATCGGGAATTTGTCGAATAGTGAGTGTCAATGATTGAATATTATTGATAATACGATACATAACATGTGAATAAAACCGTGTCATCAGTGATTCAAACGGTGATTGAAAATAATCAATAGTTAAATCGATTGAATGACATTTATCAAGTGCAAGTTGTTCCAAACGATTATTACCAATATCAATAATAGAACAAAGCAATAACACATTAGATTTCACTTTATTCATGATTATTAAAATTAACTCATCAGGTAAATCAAGCAGTTGAACATTGTCATCTGTGCAAAAACAATGAAAATAAATAAATAATGATAATAAAATACTTAGAAAATCATACTTAACAAACAGTTCATCGTTGATATAATGTGTCTGACTGACATTAAAACAGACGTATACATATATATATATGTGAAAAGTTATGACTGACGGACATTGTGTAAAGAAGAATCAATCATTGATGTTCAATTATTTTAACAACGGATGTTTTTATAAAAAGAAATAGGTAGGTCAACTAATCGGATGAAAGAATGTGTCAAATATGTTGACTCTAGAATGTAATTTGTTGGATTTAAATATGTTTAACTTGAGAGAAACTTATTCTAAGATTTTAAAAAAATCATTGAACATTGTTCAGTGAACAATAGACGAACTCAATCTTTTCAGGTACGTGCAAAAAAAAAAGAAGAAGGACAAGGAGGACGAATTCTTGTGAGTCATACTTACATAAAAAAAAAATGATATTTGTTATTGGTCTCAATGTACTCGAATGTTTCCTGATAAAAATAATAGAAAACATGAGAAATAGATCGACTACGATAAGTATGAGCTTTTTCAACATATAGAACATGTGTACATGATTAATCATAGTATGTGTTACAAAGCACCTGATAGTATTGATGATAATAGTCACAAATTGTAAGCCCGTATAGCTACTCAAAATAAATATTTTAAACGAGTGGCCACTCTTTTCATGATAGAAATCTTTTTCTTCTCTCAGTTATTACGTTTCATAACGGATAAATTAGTTTTAAAGATCATATCGAATATCAAGAACCATACTAGTTTTTTTTAACGTTTTTTATCATGCATTAGTTCTCATGCCTTTTGTTTGAAATAGTAAACAAGGAGCAGACTAGCTGCAATATTTCTACTGGAAGTCTACTAATTTCTTCTCATGAATATTGAATTATTTGATAAATCAAATGTGATTGATTCTCAATACTCTGATAATCAAAGATCTTATACTAGTGATTGTTCTAAACGCCTCTACGATTGTGCTTGGCTGGTTTTTTTATAAATTTTATTGTTATATTATAACTGAATGAGAAATAAAATGAATGAGTGCCCAACCATAATGAGTTACTTTAATTAACACACACAAGCAAACGAACGTAATAACTAATAATACTTTCACTATTTATAATAAAATTGATGGTTAAAAACATAACATTGAAAAAAAACTAGTAGTGGTAGACGATGTAGCGACAATGATGATGATGCACTATGGAGTATCAGCAATAACGTAGGTATCAATTAGTCTAGTCATCATGATAATATCGTTTTTTAAATTGAGTATATCTTCACATTGATTCTACATAAGATAACTCGGAATAAATGTGTCAACGCAATCCGATGATCAAAGAATTGATTAAGTTAATAAACTCTAAGTTAAAATTGATTTCAAATCGTTAATAATATGCTTTTAAAATGATCTAGTAGAAAGACAAATAATGAAGAATATTTTCATTTGACAAATTCAACTGAAATAAGAAAAAACAAAAATATTTTTACAGTGATATTGAAGAAAATTTTATCAAATTCTCGTTATATATATATTTATTTATATTTATATCTTCAATTAGACTTCTTGGTCCATGACATTTATTAATATCATTAACAAGTGATGAAATTTGATTTTTGAAAACACGAATTAATAAACTTGAATCTTAATAAACATTGAAAATTTCTTTTAAATTATTTATTAGTTTATTTAAAATATTCTATTCTCTTTTCCTTATTAATAGATCAATTTTATATGATCTTCTGTTAATTCTATAATTCATTATACTATATCCTAATGTTTTAGTTTTTGTTTTGTTTTAATCAGTTATTCTATACAATATACTTTCAGCTTTAAGAATTAAAGAATTTTAACTGAAGATGTTCGAAAATAATATTTCTATTTTCTTTCCAATCATGTCTTTATTCGAAACTTTCTTCAAATTTACTCATCGATGAATATTACTAACAAAACTATATTATAAAAAAGTATCCTTATAATAACCAAATTCTGCTTATATAATATATAGACTGAAATAAATTGTTTTCATATTCTTATATAATAAATTATTGAGTGTTGTAAATATCTTACCAGTAAAGAAATCCCGAGCTCTTTCGGATGTAAGATCATATAAACGAAGTCCATTTAAATTAGAATAATTTGTTAAAAGAAGAATACGTTCTATAGATGATGATTCAACATCAAGCCATTCAATTTTATGATGAATTTTAGGTAAAATTTCAAGACAAAATCGATCAAGTACTGCATCAGGAAGTTGATTTAAACCATTAAAAGGTCTTGTTATTGTTAAATTTTTTGTAAAAATTAAATCTAGGACGATAGTATCAAGTCATTTATTAACACCTATTAAAGAATAGAGTAGTTCAATATTGTGTAATTTTTTCAAAATAATCATAAAAATTTCGTCAGGTAAATCATTCAATTGAATAGATGAATATTCCATATTTATCTTCATGTATGACAATTTTGGTTTGCTTATAATTAAAGATATATTCATGTCTTCTATGTGACCGATGTCGTCAATGAGAACAATGACATATTTTTGTATAGCTATTATTTTTTGCAATTTTGTTGTCAACTTCAGTATGCGATTTGATTAATAAAGTATAAGATAATTTTCTAATATTCTCTATTGTTGTAAATTCAATCGATACAATCATAAATAATTCTTATATTATTTTTCAATACGAAAAATGAATATTTATTCCATCAATCATACACAGTTCTTGTCGATGGATCGCTATGTTTAAATATTAAAACTGAATGGTTTTAATGGGATAGAGTATCCTGATTTCACAATAAAAAATTCTTTATGATATTATTTTCTTTATTGTTTCATCAATTTTTTTCTAATATCTTGATTTGAATTCAGTCGGACTGATATTTCAAGGAAAATATTTGGTCAAACAGTAGTATATTGTCTATAAAATTGAGTGCTAGATTTAAATTCATTCGGTAATTCTCATGTATTTCTAAATAATGACTATAATTAATATACAGCTATATATTAATATTATTGTGAATAATAGATATGTCCAATTCAATCATGTATTATCTCTAAACATGTGCCTATGTTGATAGCATACAAGAAAAAGACTATTGTTGGATCATTGGTCTAATTAATAGTATCAAGTTTATTTTTTAAATGATGAGTAAATAAAAAAGAAAAAAAAAAGAGATTTTTTGTTCATTCATCATGAACAAATATTGGTGTCTTTGAGATACCATACTCTTGATCATGTAAAAGATTTGCTTTATGTTCAGGAACAGGAATATGTTTATCATCGACCAGAATAACTTGTGAATCAACATTTGAAGCAACTTGATTGTCATCAATGAACGTCTTTATAAGTTTAAATTTTTCTTTAAGTTCTTTTTTTGTTTTACGCAAATCAACAAAACTATAATGAAAAACAATGATTATTTTTTAATAAAAAGAATTATTTTCTTTTTTACCTAAATTCTTTATCAACTTGGTTGATATGTTTATCAACATTAAAACATCTCTTTTTAGAAAATTTTAATAAAGGATTTTGAGACTAGATAAAATAGGATGAGCTAATTGTTATAATAAACAAATACTTACTTCTGCATAAACTGTTAAGTTTCCATCGCCTAGAAACATGGTAAACTTGATATCCAAAGCGTTTTTATCGTAAACGAAGGCATAGGACTTGTATCCGTTCTTGTACGAATTGAGTTTAAAATCCTATTTAAAAAAAAATATATAGTCGCTTAGATAAAATAGTATTTTGTACTTGATCATGAAATAAATTGATGTTGTTGCACGACAAAAAAAATAAAGCATAAATAGTTAAAAAAATGAATTTTTCATCGACTAAATCACGATTGATATTGATAAGATTTTTGAATGATCGTTGTTCAACAGATCTTGACATAATATGTAGATTAATAATAACATCCTACAATTAAATCATTTAATGACGATGTTCACAATTCGAACTACAAGTTGAATGTTTTTCACTGTTTTATACATGTTTCAATAAAGAAGTATTGTGTGAGAACTCTCCCAGAACATCCACAAGTATTGCTAAATCTTATGAAGTTTTCAAACATCGTTGACCTAAGCTTATTTAAAAGATTAGTTCCTAAAAATTCGTCGATAAGTACGTATGTATGGAGGATGGACCTGTGAAAGTTCTTGATCAAAGAACTGAACTGGTATCAGTGAGTGAGTTGTTTTTAAAAGAGCTGAAACTGATAACCAGTTCTTTTTCAAAGAACTGAAACTAGGGACCAATTCTTTTTGACAACTGGAGCAAGTACTGAAGAAATGTGCCACATCACTATTATTGACACAACAGGTCGATTTGAAAAGAACTAGTCGTTGGACACAATTTGCCAAGCGATTAAAATGGTATTATTTCTATTTAATTTTTATCGATTATTAAGATTAAATCAATTACGACTGATTGTTAGAAAATTGATTTTAATTGATTAAATTTTATTAATCGATTACAAGAGATGAAAACTAAATACAATCGTATTTTTAAAACCGAAAAATTAGATTGAAATAAAGCCATTTTAATCTATTTTTAATCCAAAAAGAATCAATTTTAGTTTGATTTTTAGACGTTCTTTTTATATGAAAATACGAAACTTACAGGAGAACATTGCCAATTGTCCAATCGTTTTTTTTAATGAAAGCTACCGGATTATAGGTTATCTACTCTGCTAATTCAGAATATGGGCATAATAATTGCCCTTACACCTTTATAGGGTAATTTCATAGAAAACCGATTTTTCAAGCTGAAAAATCTTTTTCACCATATTCTTTTTTTCATCTGCTCAGATTGTATAGCATATTGAGTAGTCTACTATCGAGGCGACCCTTGACTATCATGTTATCTTCCAATTATGTACTTTTCTACATTTGGTGTGATCACCGTTATTTACACTTTTACTCAATGTCTAGTGTGACGATCACTCTTTGTCCTATTGTTCATTGCTTCTGATCTGATCACCATTCTTAGTACCATTGTTTAGCACATGATCCTATCCACATATAAATACATACTCTTTTTCATGATTTTAATAATAAACTGTATAACCAGTGGTAACATTGTCTATAAAACAATACTTTCTTTCTTTTTTTGAATCGAATTTTGAAGGTCATAAAGTTATCCCAATTCCATGCGTACCACTAAACATTTACAATGAGAGGCCAGCTATAGTAAATGTTAACATCGGCTGCTTCAGATAACTTTTATTACATCCTTGTGCACGAGTCTCACTGATCTCAAAATCAGCTATTTTTTTTACGAAAAGTTTATAAATATAATGTAATCATATTATCAAGAGAAGATTTACTGATAAAGAGGAATTTTCAATAAAATTGTGAATTATTTATGCATTTACATTGTAATGTATAAATGCATCTATTGCATGAATTAAAATGTCTTTATGGCCTTCAAAATTTGATTTGAAAAAGAAAAAAAACATTATTATATAGACAACTCAATATGCTGTACAATCTGCCTCGATCAATAAAAGGATTTGGTCGAGAAAACTTTTCAGTCTGAAAAACCGTTTTTTTATAAAACCACCAAATAAAGGCCTAAGGACAACTCTTATACCCGTATTCAGAATCAGCATAGTCAATAACTTGTAATAGCATAGCTTTCATTAAAAAAACGATTGGGCAGTTGACATTATTCTCTTGTTAGAGACGGTATGTTCGGATAATTATTTTAAAAGGTCGAGACATACTTCTTTTGTACCACAAGTAATCATAGATGATCCAGTAGGATTCCAAGCTAAAGAAGAAATTGTGTTGTTCGACGAATAGCTTTAAATATAAGATTATAATAAGAAATAAAATGAGCAAAATTTTAGCTACATCATGCAAACATTAAGTGTTTTTCGATTTATAATCACTAATTTTAAACGACGATATGTAATAATAAAAAAATTTTTACACGGAGAATAATCGATTAAATCAATGAACTAAAGGCAAAATTATTTACTATTAGTTTTTAATATTGTTTTTAATTAAATACGAACTTCTTCAACTGTATTGTCTTCAAACATTTTTTCCAATTTCCAATACTTGATTTCATAAAAATAGATGCGGTTTTTGACAGGAATAGCTAGTAACTAAAATTGTAAATGAAATTAATATCCATGTTAATTATGATATATTTAATTTACATTTTCAATTGTATCCCAATCAATTCTAGCTAAAGATTGAGCACTTCTAAATAAATTTAATGAAATTCTTTACAAATTATAGTTCGACGCATAATATTCCTAATAGTATCTAAAGACAATGTGTGGTCAGGAGGAAAAATATACAGGGTGGCCCAAAAGTAACAGAACAGATAAGTTTTTTCGATTTTTTTTCTTTATGCATCGACAGTTAGATCTCATATTTCTACTACATATATTAGATGATATTAGTTAGAGATGGGACATATGCAGGTCCCGCACGAGGGTACTAAGATTGAGGATGCGAGGAGTTTCGAGGAAGTCAAGATTGAGGGACGCAAAATTTTTCTTCGCGTCAGATTTGATGTTAATCTTTCTCTGCTGACCTAGCATGTAAAAATTTTTCACGAAGCGACAACTTTTTGCAACCTTCTTAAAAAGTTCCACATTTTTGCACAAATTTTCAAGAAGAGAACTCGAGTCCTATGTGATAAAGTTTCTCAATACTGTCATCATCGAAGGCGGCCACTGGCAAAAATTGGTCTATATCCAGCTGTTTCAACGGAAAAATTGATTACAGTAGGAAGTTTTTCTACGTTCAATGCGGTTACACAATTGTTATTTTTCACGAAGCGAAAACATTTTTCAGACTCATGAAAAACTCTTTTTTTTATGTTGTTCGAAAGGGAAAAGTGTTACGATAGTTCTGAGAGATTTCTCCGCTAAAGGCAGCCACACTAGTAGAAGTACAGAATCTACCCGCGTGCGTGATCAGTCGGTCGAGGAAAATTTAGTCAAGTTATTAGCAGTTAGGGAAAATTTTTTTGATTTTTTCCTCATAGGAAATATTTCATAGTTTTCTAAACGAGTCCTGATGTATTTATATACGCATCATTCACACTATGCACCTTTGTTTTTTTTTTTTTTTTTTTTATTAAACTTTTGAAAGAGTTATTCGTGTCTTTCTCGAAGTGCCAGTATTGTTTACTTTTATTTAATCAGGCTCCCCTTAAATAATCCAATTTTTCGAAAAAAATGCGAAGTTGAGTTTTTATCATAGAAAGGTGTCCCGAAGCCTCTTCTTTCAGAATATATATAGTTTTCCGCAAAAACGCCTAGATTTTGACAGACTTATTGGAAAAGTCTTGTTCCCTCTTATCATATGTTTTCAGAGAATCTTTTGAGGTTTTATAGAGTTTTCAGTTTTGTAAAAGACTAACTTTTCATTTGTATAAACATTAGTAAAACGTTATTACATTAATTATTAGGAGCGTTCTAACATTCAAGATAAGGATCATGTTTTTATATAGTTTCCGGAACACTGGCTATTTTAAAAAGTCTGTTTTAATGTCTTCTGGATATAAATGAAAAAGATTTGAAAAAAATTCATTTCTAAAACTTCTTTAGCGTTTTTCTCAAAACGTGATTTCTATGCAGGAAAACTGGAATAACTCCCACCCGCTTTAAACTATAATTAATATTTTATTTTGTTTTGAAGGTCGAAATGGGAGTAAACTTTTCATCCGCCAGCTTTTTTTATAGTTGATTTCTGTCTTTAAAAAATTAGGTTTCAGGGCCGTTGAATTGCTGCTTTTAAAGCTGATTTCAAGACATGTTTCTTAAAATGATCCTAAAAAATGAACGATAGGGAGTTTAAAAATTCTGTCCGGTGAAAAATGCGCATTGATATTGACTTTAGTTTGAGACCATCCCAAGCTCTACACCTCTTGTTGCGGCGAAGTTATAAGGATTCTCCTTAAAGTCATAAATGGACTATGAATCAGCTGGAGACCCAGATTACTTCGACCTATTCAGATGAAATTTTTACCAGAACTGTTTTTCACTAGAACTATTCATTCCAGAATATTTCAGCCCAAACGGACGAGTTTAAGTGGTAAATAGATTGTGAAGGATCCTTTAAACTGGAATAACTCGTTTCTTAACCTAACTCAATAGGGGGAAATTTTTTTCAAAAGTTTTGCCGATCGGGAGAATTTTTCATTTTAGCAGCAGATTCTGCACTTCTGCACGCTAGTGGCGACCGTTCGAAAATGAAGCTCTTCAACAAAGAGACACGAGTAAAATTGTGTTAAAAACAGAAAAATCATATATATTATTAGGCCAAGTGCGCTCGCTTGGTCACATTTTCGCAAAGCGAAAAATTTAAACATCCCTTCAAAATTTTATGACAAAAAGTTCCGAAAAAATTTATCGATTTTATTGGCTACGAATGAATAATTTTCAATTATTGGAGGGTGTACACCTCCTACACTCCCCCCCCCCCACTTTTGCGGGGCCTGGATATATGATCAACCTCTAGGCGAAGTAATTTATTCCAAAGAATATAAATATGTCTTAATTGCTCTTATGTGACTATATGAGAAATTCGATATTTTTCATGTTATATTCGATTCGATTAAATTTTGTATGCTTTTAGTCTAAAGGAATTCAAAATCTGATAGACTCGAATTTGTGACTCAGATTGGAGTAAGCAGACAAGAAGATGAAAATCGAATGTAACATGAAAAACATCGAATTTCTCCTATAGTCACATAAGAGTAATTAAGACATATTTATATTCTTTGGAACAAATTACTATGACTAGAGGTTGATCATATACCCCATCTCTGACTAGTATCACCTAGTATATGTGGTATAAATATAAGATGTAACTGTCGATGTATAAAGAAAAAAAATCGAACAAAAAATTATCTATCCTGTTACTTTTGGGCTACCCTGTATATATGTGTAAATGTCTTTTTTTATTGAATAAATTGCATAATGAAGCATGAGATTTCGATTCTTATTTATGCTAGGGATTATCATCAGATGGATACATGAGCTTTATTTTTTAGTTTTTCAATGTTTTCTTTTTCTGTGTTTTTAATGTTTTGAACAAAAAATATAATTGTTATAAATTGTTTCTATTAATAGAAAATAAGAATAGTTCGTTTTTCTATTGATCTATCTTATGTTAATAGGTATAAGCTTATTTTGAAACAATATGATGAATCATATTCGAATATAACAAAAATATAAGAAGGAAAAGTGAAATTTGGAAAAACAAGAAACAAAGCTTATGTACCCATCTGATAATCATCCCTATTACAAACCGGAACCGAAATATCATGTTTCATTATAGAATTTATTCTCTAACAAAACAAAGAAATTTACGCATAGTTTTTTTTTTTTCTTCTAGAAACATATTGTCTTTCAATACTTATTAAAATGATTTAGTTTTCTATTTTAATAAAATTAATAGCTTCATTCAACTTACTCAATATCATTGGATTTGTTGATCACATTAAAACTTTTTATTAACATTTGTTGATCAATACTATACACACGAACACGTCCATCGATTGATGATGTTGCCTAAAAATATTGGAGTTTTCTTTCTTTTTTTGAAATTTAATAAGAATTCGTTTTGTTACCAATAATTTTTCGTCATCATTAATACTTAACCACAGAATAGCATCTTCGTGTCCATGAAATTCTTTTTTTTCTTTTGAACCATCATTTAAATTAATCATCACAACTTCAGCATTACTAAAAAAATACAAAGAAGATAACGAATAACATTAAATTTAAAATGAGTTATCATACCGAGTACCAATGAAAAGTAAGCCATTACTTGCACAACGAGCCGATACCAAGTGATTAAATTTCATAAAAACTTGTTCAGCATTAGCTTGTGGAAATGAATAAACTTTTAATTCAAGATCACTTGTAGCAGTAAACAAAACATTTTCCTTATAATTATGAAAAAAAAAAAGTATGGATTCAAAGACAAATTTTATCAAATTTACATGAATAAGAAGACGATAGCACATGGCATGAAAATTAATACGTTGCACGTTAGTATCTGTTTGCAGAGATGGAACCGGTCTACCTTTTTTCAGACCGGTACCGGCGCGGGTCTGGAGAAAGGTAGACCGGACCGGACCGGCCGGTATACCGGTTTGACCGGTCTACCGGTCCAAACCGATCTAAACCGGTCCAAACTGGTCTACCGATAGTGACAGGATAATGTTGATACGCCAGTTTATCAGGAAAACCCGACCTATCGATAAAATATCGATCTACAGACAACAGGCTGAAGCTTAAAATGAAATCTTGTGCAATGAACTCTTTGGTGGATTACCTTCGTACCTTGAATACAATCATAGAGCAGGAAAGTGAAAAATATAGACCAGTATAGACCGGTAGACCGGCAGACCGGTCGATCCAAAATCCAGACCGGTACCGGTTCCATCTCTGTCTGTTTGTGCTTCGTAGATGTTGATATAACCATTGCCTTGACCAACAACAAAATAACTAAAAAAAAACACAATAGAAGTTATATTTTGGAAAATCGATATTTAAATACAGCCGTCCATCTTTTGAATAGGAAATATCATTTAAACGAGATAATTGTTCATTCATATCACAAGACAATAATGAACTAGTCAATATGTTTTAATAATTTAGAAAAAATAAATTAAACAAATATTGTCGTCTAGAATGAATATGCCTAAATAAATAAACATATAGAATTTTTTCAATCGTTCCTCCATCATGTAGTTATCTTACTGATTTATTTAGTCAAATGATTCTATGTAATTCTTTTCTTTTGTTTTTCTGAATTTACCAATCATATATATGATTCATTAGTCATCTACTTTCAACTATAATGTGACTAAACAATTAAAACCAAAAATATTCTTATGTTTAGACAAAAAACTAATATTAAATCAAATATTCTAAAATATTCTCAGTGAATTATCATATTCTATTGAATATTTAAAGTTCATAAAAATTCGATAAACTTATAAAGAAATTCTTTTATTAATAAGAATTAGAACAAAAAAAAAGATGTCAAGATTTAAGCTTTTAAAATATTTTTAATGTTTCTGAAAGTTCTTTGTTCATGTAGATCTTCTTTATTCGAATAGAAAGTTGCATAAAAAGTTAGCAGTATTGATCCGATTACAAAATAAAATCATTATAGGCGATGTTGACGTTAGAAATATATCTGAATTTTTACTTGTTTACATTAATTGTATGATGTATGTCTCAAAGGAATAATTGATTGCCAGCGTAAAAAAAGAAAAAAAAAATTGCCAATACATTACCTTTAGTACGATAATGTGGAGTTCGCATCACATTTTATGTTTCATTATACGAATAGAAAATACATAACCTGCAAAATCTTTATCAAACTCTAGTTGAGTGAGGTATAGGTGTTGATATTTGTGAAAGGTACAATGATATACCTACACCCAATTTATGGATTTGATTATTTCGTGTCAATGAATCGATACTGAAGGAAAATTACAATCTCTTATCCAGTTTAATAGAAAGTTTTCAGAGTAGTGAAATCTGGTATCAAATTCTAGGAATTGTGCACTTAAATCCTTGGTCAACAAGCGACTATTTCAGAAAAATGAAAGTGATAACCCATACACATTTCTCAATCCCTAAAACTTTTCTTCAAAGTTTTCTAATAGTTTCTGATTTTCCTTCAATAGACATTCGATTTTCATTCATATGAATAATGTAAAGTATTGAAGATATTTATTTTCGAAATAAAAATATTGTTTTAATTGAGGATATAGGGAATTGTTTGAGAACATGGCACCCACAGTTCATATTCTTTTTTTAATTTTTTCATATAAGATCAATCAATAAAGTAGCGATATATCAAAGAGAATATCATCGCTCTCACTTTTATTCATTTAGACATAGTTAGTTCAAGATGCGCACTTGAACGCTTTTTTTAAACTTTAATCTATTATAGATTTAACTCCATTATTAAGTCCTTCTCCATGTGTTCGATTACGATCGAACTGTGACTATCAGAATATATAAAATAGTTAAGGAATTGAAAATCTTATTGAAAAGGGTTTGGGAGATCATCGTTCCGATTGAATTCTATGGCCATTACCAGTGATTTTTAGGATCCTATGGAAATGTACTTTAGATAAGTGAACCAGTGAGATATTTGGAACACTAATGTAACTGATTGAGCTGCATCTTTTAAGACTAATTACTACATCGTATTCCACGTTCAAGTAATCACTTCTTTGCAAACATGTGATTTTCTAGGGATGTATCAAAACCTATCATGAAACGGAAGAGCTGTCAAGTTCGTTACAAAAGATGCAGCTCAATGAGTTACGTTAGTGTTCCAAACATCTCACTGATTCATATATCTAAAGTACACTTTCATAGGATCGTAAAAATCACTGCTAATGATCATAAGACCTAATCGTGGCGATGATCTCCCAAAAACTTTTCAACAAGATTTTCACTTCCTTAACTATTTTATATATTCTGATAAAGAAAAACATTCTGCATCGAATGAGTCTATTTTGAATGACTTGTACACGGATAATAGTGGTCTTCTGGGTCAAAACCTGCTTTTTCAGCTCAGGAAAAAGAGTCAAGATCTCTTTTATTATTCAATCAAGTCTGAAAAAAACGTCAGATTCGCGATCAGCACACTCTGTTCTATCGATCTATAAAGATCATAAACAAATTAAAGACAAAAAAT